TAACTAGGAGGACATTCTTAGAAGTGCAGTTGAGTCTGAGAGGTGACTGCCAGCGCTGCCTGCTCAATTTGTTGTGGAGGAGTTCATGTGTTTGCCGCTGTGATCTCTCTTCATTAGACGCTGTAATGGCATCGCTGTGAGGCAGTCCCCTCTTGCAGGTAGTTCTGCAGAACTCCCTGTTCCACAAACAGACCAGATTGTGTACAGTAGCTTAAGGGCTTTGGAAAGGCGAACATCTGGATCAACAAGAGGGCATGCTGCTCCCGCGTGGGCTAAGACAGAGGGAGGCTTCGTCTCCCAGAATCCCAGGGCACAGCTTCCACAAGAAAGTCAACCGCAAGAAATAATCCCGTGACACATCAATTGCTGACACTGTTCTTGATCATTTTCAAGATGAAGCGCACGAATGCTCCTGCTAAAAGCAAAGAAAAAAAATCAGATGCCTGTTCATGTTGTGCATTTGTGCGAATCTCCTGGTATCATTTTTGATCTAGTGAGAAGGAATCAGTTGCAGCCTAAAGTACTGTATAAGCACATGACATGAAACAAGGTCATTTGCTCTTTAAAAGCTGGAATATAACAATAGAGACTGAACAGACTGGCAGGAGCTTATGTTGGCTCACAATTAATTGTATTTATTCATAAAAGAAGTTTCTTTGTGAAGCAAATGGCTTGCTGATGTGTAATTCAGAGTTACTGGATTGATCAAGCAGTTACCAGGTGGATGTGGCTGAATTAGTGCTGAACTGACTGTGTAATAACCCTTTGACTCTGTCTCACCTCTGATCTTGATTAAGTGAGCCAATTATTTGGAAAACAAATTTTGCCCAGCGCAGACACGTCTGTACAGTGGTTACAGTTGGCTGTCTCTCATGACGTAAGCACCTCTCATCTGCAGCTTCCAGATGGCTTGTAGGTATTGCTTCCAGGTGTCTTTATATGGTTTGAATTTTTTGTGATGATTTAAGGCAACATCTATAAGGCATTTTTCTCCACACTTTTTTTGACAAAGTATAAGCAAACGAATTGGAAGGGCTCTGGCGTGTTGCTCTGAGCTGCGGTCCTCTGTCCCAGGTGCTACAGAGCCCCAGCAGTCGCAGCCTCTGTCTGAGATCCAGCCGGTCCTGGAAGATTTCTCCAGTCTGCAGCATCGCCTTCTCTTCCAGAGCCCTGTATCATCACCAGCTCGTCCTTAGCCACTACTCCGAAATCACAGAGCAATTAAAGAGATGAATACAGCAGCCTTCGCATTTCAGTTTGTTAAAGCTTAAGAACTGCGATTAGCTTAATTATCCCTCAGTCCCTGGAGCTCTTCTGTGACCCTTCGGTGTTCTTGTCATCGACTGGCGATGATCCTCTGACTTGGGCTTGCATCTGTCACTCTGCCTGGAGACTGCTGCTAGCAGGACGATACCTAATCTGGCCTCATGCATGATCTTGATATAACATTTATCTCACCTTTCTTCTCTCTTTGTGGCACATGCACAGTTTCAAATCTCTACAATTCTCGCAGTAAAAACGTTGAGCTCTTCCATTCCTGATCTAAGAGAAGGGGTCTGGGGGAGGCTGGAGTGTTTCAGCCCCAGCGCATGGCCAACATGACTGAGCTTTTGATACCTTGTTTTCATGATCAGCTGTCCCAGCCTGTATCTCACAGAGGTATCACTCCAGCAGCAGCTCTGCACCACCCATCACCTGTTACCTCCTTCCCAGCGTGGCCACGCTGAGACCTCTTCCTGATCCGGCGCAGTGCAGGAATCGCTCTAGAGTTATTGGAAGCTCCCGAGGAAGGAGCTAGAGGAGAGTGTGTACATTCCAGGGATGCATTTGTTAAGACTGCATATTTTAAAAGCTTTTATTTCATGACTTGATGTATGATCCTAAAGTTCAGCAGCCAGGATTGCACCCTTGGCAAGAAATTATGATTCACATAGCAGCTCTCCAGGGCCATGTGTTTCCCAGATGTACAGTAGAGCGGTTCTGCTTTACTCTGGAAGTGCATGAAAGTCCTATTAGGAGGAGTTTCCACTCCCAGAAGAACACTAGAACGTGAACTATCAAGAGTTGGGGGTTCATGACCAGTGAAAAGCCCTAATTAGCTCTTGGCATCTGCTTGTTCTTATCTCTCCTACCTCTCTTGCCCTGTGCATTGCATAGCTATGTAAGGAGAGGAAGTGTCCAGGTGTGGGATTCGGCTACAATATTCAGCCTCTGAATCCTGTAGTATAAGGAAAGTGGAAGGGTGGGATTTGATTTAGAACTCCTGTTTCATAGCGTTCATAGCATACCTGTTTCATTTCTTTAATTTCAGGGATTAGCTGAACTCAGGCTGGTGCATGAGTTGTACATCATTTGGTGTCGTTAATATAAATGCTTGTTTGTCTGCCAGCAGATGTAATGAACATAAGGTGGTCTTTTAATATCCAGCGCCAGGTGTTAAAATGGCTTAAACTGCTGCACAGTTGGTCTCTTTCTGCTGCCTCAGGGCCTAAGTGAGCCCAGACCCTTAGCACTGAAAATTGTAGCCATCTTCCCTGCAAGGCTGATAGAGGTGAAATCCACTTAGCCAGCAGCAGGACATGTTCTTGAGTCTTTTCCAGTGTTTCTTTAATGTCTTTTTATTGTTCTTCAAAGTCACGCAGGGTCAGTGTTCCAGTCAGGATCCCTGTAGAAGCCGTGTTGCTCTTTTCTGCGGTGGCCAGTGCTGTTCAGAGTGTCTGCTCCAGGCAGGGCTGGCTGTGCTGTGCTGTGATTGCTTGTTCGGCTGGTTTGAGGTGGGAGAGAAAAGGCTTTGATCTCCCTCCTGCCTGCAGCTTGAGCTAAGAGTTCAGCCCCAGTGACTGCTCCTCTCCTACCTGCCCCCCGACAGTCTGAAAGTTAATGGAGCTGCTTGTGTTCTCAGTTCCGCGACACCTCGGGCATTTCAGTCTTGCTTTGTGCACTTCGGTGACCACACTTTCCGAGAGTCCCGGCTCCCCGAGACCCTTCCCGAGAGGATTGACGCTGGTGTAGCCCGAGAGAGCGCCCTCGGGGAGGAGACGGACAGTTCCGACTGAGCGCCTTCGCTGCCAGCGGGGAAATGAACTGGCTGGCGCCCAGGGGCGGCAGTTGAACCTCCATAAAGCAAGTACAGACTCTGGGCACAATTAATTTCGGTCTCCCTTTCAGTGAACGACGGGAACAGTCTGCAGAGTGAGCTGGACCCTCCTGCCTTTTGTTCTGGGGGCTGTTTCAGCTGTGCAGCTGAACCTTTCCTGCCTGGTACCTGTGCTCAGAAGCTCCACCTGCCGTTTGCTTGCTGTCCGCTGATCTTTTCCTTCTTTCTGCCTTGAGTCCTGCGCCATGTTGGTGTGACTCCTGACTCGTCCATCACTGTCAGTGGGAGTTTGAAGCCGTTTCTCCGTGGCAGAGAGGCTGCGCGGTGGCAGATCGCAGGCTCTGCCAGGTAGCGCAGATATTGGATAGCGACGCTTTTCAGTGATCATTCTTTAGCGATCTGGCAGGAGCTTGAAAATGTTTTATGGCGGTACGCCTCTGACCGTGGCTGTGGAGCTGGCTGCGACGCCGAGACATAAATTCTGCACGAAGTGCGCAGAACACGAGCCTGGCAAGGGGCTTGCGCGGCCAAACTGGGGGGAGAGAACGCGCGCTGCCTGTCAATCGGCGCCCTCCGGCTCCCTGTTGCTGTCCGCAGCTACCAGTCTCGGGCTAGGGCTGTCTGCTGCTAGCACCTCCGTGAGATTCGTAAGGAATGCACTGGCTATTAATGAGCTGCAGGCTAGCTTGCAATCGGAAAGACTTGTGTAGCTACAAGGGGAGGCTTGTGTGGGCAGAGGCGGGTGAGTTTGTGGGTGGAGGGGGTCAGGGCTTGGGCTTTCGTGCTTTTTCCTCTCCTCTCTGCACCCTCACTGTGCGCTAAGCAGAGCCAGACACACAGTCTCTCCCAGGGGAGCTGCAGGGTGAGCGAGGTGGACGTCCAGCCCTGAGAGAGGAGTCCCAGCTGCGACGTCCCCGCAGGACTCTCCTCCCTGGTCCCTGGGGCTGACCTTTGCCCTCTTTGGGCTGTGACTCCGTGACAGAGCTGGCTGACAGTGACAGGAGGACTGTGCACAGCTGGGGAGCTGTGAATCGGGGGGGTTCTGGGTCATGTTCGAGAAGGACTAGTGTACCCTGCTCATTGTGATCTATTTGGTAGTTATCCAAGGATCTCATTTAGCCATGTCTTGAAGGAAGCCAGGGCATCACCCTTAACAACATGGCTGTCCGGTTTGTTCCATACTCCTACCACCCTTTGGGTAAATAAGTGCGTCTTGTTGAATCATACAACCTGGGGTCAGATGAGCACAGCTGGCCTCTCCAGCTGAAGGAACGCTCAGCGATCAGCTAAACCTGCGTTTTAGAGCAGAACAAATCTGGACCAAGAACATCAGTCCAGCCCCGCGAGGATCGAGCTGGCTGGATGTCTGTGAGAAACACTGGCACTGGAGCTGTGCTTTTTTATGTATATCTTGTGTGATGGTTTTTACCACGTGGGAATCTGTGGGGCTCAAATGCCCTTACTGGGGTGCCAGCGGCCCTGTGAAAACTCTAACTCTTAGTAACATTCCAGTTTGAAGAACTGGAGAAACTATCTTTCCTCCTGTGCAAACAATACAGACCTAATAGCAAGCAGCAGAGTCTCTCAACAGAGTCCTTCCCATAGACAGGGCTTCTAGACTAAATTATGAAAAAAGGTTTAATCTTTCATTTATGTTTAGACCTGATTAGCATGCAGGTTTGTGCAGTTCTCAGTTCTTCTGGAACATTTCAGTTTTGTTTGATTGCAGGGTTTCCATGCATTAAATTGACCATTAGTCAATTACTTGACTCTTAATTACATAATTGACCCTTAATTACTCAATTGATTGTGCCTATAAGAAATAGAAGTTCCACATTTTTGCAATAGATATATATCATAGATTAGCCAGCAGGACTGAAAAACAATCAAGAGAGGAAAGAGATTTAATTATCCTTTAATGAGCTGTGCAGTATAACAGATTGGATTAAACAGATCAATGGGCAGTGCTCTGGTATTATGAAGCACGACTGTCATGGTAACTTCTTTTCTCTCAGTGCTGTTCGTCCTGGCACCCTGAAACTGCACACTTTCAGAAGTCTGTGCGAATGATGGTGGAACAATCACACTAGACAAAAACAGAAAAACTCAGATCGTAAAAGTTGTTCAGACATTAGAAATTCCTCAGACATTAGAAATGTTCCATTCAGTTGCAAAGCCCCTTTAAGTAATTTTAGGTTAATTAGTTTCAATGGAACAAAATTTCGAGAGCTCTTTGGAGAGAATGATCTGCGCTGAGCGAGGGACCAGGTGATGAGCTTCACATTTCAGCTCCACGGCTGATCGCGCTGGATGACAGGACTGCTATGATCGAGGTCCGCGCTGTGATACACACGCACACAGGAGACCCTTTCAGTTCTCCAGAAGGTCTGGAGCCCAGCCTGCTGCCCTCAACGCTCCAGGTTTCTCTCAGATCCCTGTCCAGCCCAGCCTGGGGAGAGTCATCCCTGCGTCTCTGTCCGCTACTGTTGGAGTCCCGCGCCAAGCTCAGCGTCCTCAGAGCACCAGGCCCAGTCTGCAGCTCCGCCTGACTGTTACAGTAGGTGCGAGTCTTCATCAAGGTAAGGTCTCACTGAGACACTGGCATAGAGCCCACTGTCTGCAGGGGGGACTCTTCTTTTCTTTGGGATAAGAGCTTCCCCTAATTCTGTGTTATAAACCTGATCTGCGCTATTAGAATGACAGCCAGAGCAAACTGCCCCTGCACTCCTTCAGACGTCCGCTCTGCACGTCTGCCATTCTCTCCTGACCTCCAGGGCAGAATTCAGCCCGTTCAAACTGACCTTTACTCTTTAAAGCACAGTCCGCCGCCCTGTGCTGTTAATACTGCAGTGCAGGGTTGCATCACTGTCACACATGGAGGTCAGGGCCTGTAGACAGGAGCTATAGAAGCCCAGAAGATCAGGCAGCCATGACCAACACAGGAGTAACCTCCTGGATCAGGGACATGCTATTTTAAACTTAAAAATGAGGAATCCATGTGTTGATTTGGCAATAACCGTGAGTTCCACAGACAAGTCAGAATTCCAGCTTTTCTCCATGACTCCATGGTCCACTGCTCTTCCAGCACAGTGAGCTCCCACTGCCTTGGAGATTTGGCATTGATTCCCAGGCAATCCTAAAATAAATCCCAAGTAAAATAAGTTTCAATTTCTTTTTTGCCATTTTAGTTACTGCTACATTTACGCCTTGTAGGTGTTGCAGCTTTAGTTAAATGCAGGTTTACATTGGATTGAGATAAAGAAATGGAGTTTAAATGTGCCGGAGTTTGTGAAGTATTCTTTTCCTCTCTCCCTGGCCAGGTCAAAGGGTTTACTTCTTTTAATCCAAAAGAGTCCTGCTCTCCAAGCAGTTATTTTAATATTTCAGTCACCTCTCTGCCAGGGGCATCCCATCTCCACCTATATGTACAGCTTGGCTGGAGAAAAAGGTCTCTGCAGCACAGCCCCAAAATTTCACACAAGACCAAGCATATCACAGAGCAGGCACAAACGTGTCAGTATCTGCAAGTTCGGCCTGGAGTATCTCAAGGGGCATAACACAGCTCTCACTGGGAAGGCTAGCTGATTTAAACAAGATTTGTATCTCCTACACTGGCGCATCTGAAGTCTTCTAATTGTCCCTACACTGCAGCCATAGAGCAAGAGCCCAGACCCCTGCCAGCCAGCCTTATTTTGAAATGACTTGTGAAATTGTATCCCCCTAATTACCAGGGGCTACGTGCGAGAACAAGGAAATGGCTCCAAACATTCTGCATTTATACACAGTCCTGGTGCCAACGTCACCTCTCATGCCTTAATTCACACGTCAGCGGCGCCTCCGTCAGGGGCTGGTGAAGCTCTGCAGAGCTGGAGAAGAGTCTTGACAGGGTTCACACGGTCAGAGGAGCTGGAAAAGTGTGTGCTGGTCAGCCTCCTCTTCACCGAGGCGGTGATTTCCTTGGAGAGCGAAGCAGCCAGACCCTCTGGCTGGGGTGGTCTCACTGGCAGTGGGGCCGCACTCCTCTCCCTGCTGGCACGTCCTGCACAGCTGACCAGTCTCTCTCTCCGGCCCCCTCCAAAGCCCTGAAGTGCATCGCGATCACAAGTTCTGTTCCTGAGTTTCCTGGCTGTGGTCGGACGTTCACACAGGAAAGGAAATAATCAGCGAAATTTTGGAGAGAGGAAGCCTCTGGGGTGGCAGGACCTGACAGCTCTCTGCACAAGAAGGGCTCTTCGTCTTCCTCTTGTGTTGCTGATTACATCAGCCCAAACCCACACAGCGTAGGTCTTGAAGGAATACAAACTCTCAGCTTTATAAGCCTCTTTAAAACATCAACAGATGAAGAGGTTTCGAAAGGGTCAAGCTGGACCTGTGCTGTTTTAGTGAAGTTTCCATTGATTTATTTGGTCTCTAGTTCAGGATCATTCACATTAATCAATCAGTCTTACCAGTGTGCAGAGTCTATTAGGCCTTCACCTTGTAGCTTTTCCTAGTTGCAGACACCCCACTTCATCCTATTAAGAGTTCAGTGCTGTATCTGTGTGTGTAGAGGAGGGACTGGCTGGTGTCAGAGTTTAATCTGGATTGACAATGATAGTGAAGCATTGATTCCAGATGATCTGTGGTGAAGTCACCTCTGCTGCCCACATCCTGTCTCCTGGGGGGGGTGCCACCGAGCACTGTGTCTCCACATTCATCCAGTCCCATACAGCGAGTGCTCCAGCCTTAAAGGTATTTCCAGGCTGCCCCTGTGGAGCTGTCAGGCCCCGTGAGAGATTCCAGACGGCACCTCCTAATGCGGAGAAATATTCTCTAAAGATGTCCTCCTCCTCAAATTCCTTCCACAGCCACCAGGTTCTGAGGAAAGAGGAGATGGCGAAGCAGCTCTTCTGCTGTCAGCTGCAAATGTTGCCAAAAATGTTTTAATACAAGAATTAGAACTACAGCCACAAAAACTGCACTTAATGAATCTTAGGAATTTAAGCCATGCTGCAGCAAGCCTTAATAAACACCCAAAGACTTTGTGAAGGGCGCACCCTGCTGGTGGGAAGAACTGTATGTAGAAACTAACTGTCGGCGATCGGATTCTCTCCACTTCACAAGGTGCTGCTGTAGTGAAAGGAATTCTTAAGAAAACAAGTACTGCTTCCCTTCAAAAGACAGAGCAAGAACGTCTACAAAACACACATTGATTTGGCTATAAAACTAAATTATGCAGCATCGAGACTTATTCAGCTGTGTCAGGATAAATACCTCTTGCGGGTTCTTCTGTTCACCTGGAGTTCGGCTCAGGTTGCTCTCTTAGCAGAGAACTCAACCACTCGAAATGCCCTCTCCTTTCCTCCAGCAACAGGGGACGCAGGTCTGAGCTTCGCCATAGAAAAGGTCCTCTCCTGAGTCCACACGATCCCAGACTGCGACTTGGGGCTTGTCATCTGAAAAACATCATCCCTTCAGCCTCCTTGCTGGTTGTGCATGGAATGCCCAAGCTGTATTCCCAGGGTCGGCTGTGCTGAGGAATGGGCCTGGGAGAGAGCTGTGAGCGAGATGGGGCCTCCTCACCTCACCCACCTCTTTGCCTTCTCCGCTGACACTGCAGAGAGCCGTGGAGCACAGCTGACCGGCACACTGACAGCACCTGCTTCCTGCGCTCTGGGCACAGCGCGAGCAGGCACACCGACAGGTACATCAGAAGAGCTGGGCGCTGGGAGGGGAAAGAGCTGGAGTTTAAGCTTGATTTCTATTGCCAGAACATTCAAGGGAAGCACATTTTCCCACACAGTTTACAGACCCAAGTCGTGTGTTTCTATGTCCGACTCCGAACAGCATGGCCATGTCTCTTGACCTCTTGACCTCACGCCTACATGAGCCGTGACGAGACCGCTCCCCTGTCCCAAAGAGAAGGACGTTGGTAGTGACGAAAGCTTGCTCTCTGGATGATGGGAAAGCCAGTTAACTGTGATTAATGTTGCATGCAGCATCTGTTCCGTGAAAACCTCCACTGGCTGCTATAAAGAGAATAAGAAATCTGCAAAGGACTCACTGTGGGAACACAAGGGCTGAGGGAAGAGAGACTCTGTACTCTCTAGCTTTTTCTCTCCTTTATTGTACATGAATACAAAATACTCCTCATGCATGCTTTCAGTAGTCTCCATTTACATTTTAATATATTTAAAATGTTTTAAACGTGATGTGTTTAAGAAATCTAACACTGGCCTAGTGCTTATTAAATACTGAAGGGGACAGCAGGTTCTCTGCCCGTCTTTCCAGAGAACAGGGAGTCAGGGGTATCAAGGCGTGAAGTCAGTTTAAATTGAATGACTTCCTTCAAGTAGAACAGCTCTGTATCCTGCCAGGAGTGAAACGTTATTTAATAAAGAGAGTTAATAGGGTGAAAAAGAGAAAATGATGAGATCTGAAAAGACAGATGAAAGGTAACGAAGGCAAAAGAAACCATCTGGTTTGGCAAAAAGAAAAACAGCATGGTTTTATAGTGTCTTTTCTGCGTAAGATTGATCCCCAATGATTGCATTAGCATGTCTCACTTGTTCAATCTGACAAAAAAAAAAAAGCAGCCCAGCAGGCCGATGCCTGTGGACCTGGCACAGATATGGCCTGCAAATCAGGAACTTCATACACGCGTCTGATTAATTCCACCAGTGCTCAGTCCTGCCCCGTGATTCAGCTCGGCTCAGAGCTTGCTCCTACACTTGGCACGGCGATGGAGCCGCTGGATGGAAGCTTGGTCCCACTGAAGGGGACGTGTGGCGAGACAGATAGCTTCACAATCCGAACTTCACAGGACTTCCAGCCATGCTGCTGGCTGTTCTGTTACTGATCTTGATTGGATCGGAGATCAAAGCATTCCAGGCTGAGCCCAAACATTTGCACTTTGTTCACACAGGCACCCCAAGGACCCTGTGTGTCTGCAGTAGATCACGGATTCCTTCCCATCAGGCTAGTTTTTCAGTTGCCTTGTTCGTTGTGCTCTGGGTCAGGCCTGTGCTGAACTTTGTGTAAACATTTCACTGAGGCTTTGACTGCAGTGCCAGGAGAGCAGGAGGGGGCTGGGCGGTGCAATTAAATTCCCTATCTCATCGCTTGTCATTAGCTTCTGAGAGCCATTATTGCTTTATTTGGCAATTTCCATTCAGATATGGGAGTTTACTCTTTGTGCCTTAGACCTGTAATAGATGAGCTGCTTCTTGAAATGCAGAAGCATCTTGTACAAAAACTACAGACTGTTCCTGCAGGCTGAGAGACACGGGGCTGACAGGGAGACAGGGAAAGATAGATTAACCAGCGAAGTGAGAGACAAAGACTGAGAGAGATGAAAGGTCAGAAAGAGGTATAGTATCTACCTTTTTTCAATCATTCACATACATCTGAGATGAAATTGTGGGTCTGATTACAGCAAACCACAGAGGGCGTTGCAGTTTGAATGGGCTCCTGTTGTCTGTTAACTTTCCTTTCCTCTGTTCTTATTCTTTATATCAACATCCACTGATCACCAGCTCACTTTCCCATTCTCTGTTTCTCATTGCCAGAATGGTCACCTGCAGGGGATGTTGTGGTTATCCTGTTGTGCAGTAGGGGGCGCTGGCGTTCACAACCCTGACCCACAAACACACACACCACGCCTTGCAGTGGTCTGACCGGAGGACTCAGCATTGTTCTTTAGTGTCAATGCAGTTATTCCTGCCAAGTCCGCAGTATCCACTCTTGACAACGCTGAATGACTTCATATCATTTTTAATGGGAAATTCTATTCTTAACCCTCCATTGAAAGCGACCTGCGTGAAATGAGAATAGCCCAGCAGTGGGAAATTAAAAGTCATTTATACCTGTTTGGCTGGGGAGGACCCTCAGGCACGGACAGCACTATGAATTACTGATGTGCCTCATGAGGATTGCTCTGTACAGAGTGCGCCGTAAACATGATTTCTGCCAAAGCCCTGAATGCAGAAAATTACACAGAGCCTGTCTGGCTGCAGGCTCTAGTCCTGTTCATATTCATATCATTTCCTTTCAGTCGTGAAATATTAATCCTTCATAAACTCCCATCAGATTGAGAAGGGAGACCTGTAGCTGGAACCTCTGTTCATCTTACAGCTGGGTTTCTGGCTTCAGTTAGGAGTTTGAAATGTGCAGAGATATCTTAGGAAAACTATATGTTACTGAACATGAACTGCTTTTCCCATGCCATCAACAAATATCTGTTAGGTAACCAGCTGTGAAACCTCATTGCAGGGCCTGATGCAGATGCTTTTACCGGGACGCTAGTGTATAAGACCTCAGGTTTCAGCTGTGTTGTGAGAAGGCAGGATCCTACTGATGCTTCTCAGACTGCACAAATAAAATCTCTCCTCCCAAGCAGGCTCCCAGTGTCCTGCTGCTGTCCTGCTGCTGCCCTGCCTGGCCCTTCGTGTCCCTCTGTGCGCTGGCTCAATCTCGCACAGTTTCTGCCTCTCCAGCCTCCTAATGGACTTCCCCAGTGTTGACAGAACAATAACCCTTCCCCCCCCAGCGTGCGTGCCTGCTGTAGCCGTGTTCATCACAAAATATTCAGATCTGGAGGCTGGATATTAAGTACGATTGCATTTTAACACCTTGGATATGGTTGGACTGTCTCCAGCTCCCCATGACCCTGAAGCATGGTTGAAGATAGGGCTGTGAAACAAATGAGAAAAAGATTTGTGCTTTGTAATAACATTGTAATTACTATTTAATACACAGGATAACTGCAGAGTATAAAGGATAGTGTATTGTGTTATGGATGGTTTTAGCATGATAGCATATGTAGTTAGGATCCGCACTAAACATTAGAATTGTGACTGTTATAAATTACATTTTGCACTTTATTATACATCTGTAACAACATTTTTTAGTTTCAAAGGGTCCCTATTGTAAGTAGCCCCGATTTTCGTTGTTTCTCGTGTCGTCAGTTAAGGGGCCGGATTTCGTCAGCCGTTGCGCGAACCCGCACGTTGTTTTCCAAAGCACGTCAAGCCATTAGCACAAGCCGTGTGGCGCGATGTCACACCCCCTTGCTTTGTGTCGTCTCCTTTACTGTTCAGAAATTTGACACGTAGGTGCACATAATTTATCTTATTATACTGGCATAGCCCTTTAACCGTGACTGGGAGATCGTGCACTGCCGCAAAGTTAACTGCTGTTCGCACGAGGCACCGCGTCGGTGTGTCTCGCTGTGAAAACAGACATAATAAATTGCATCAGAAATAGTGGCCTGGGCTGTGGACATTTACAAAATAAGAACAATAACAAACTTATCTATTTCTATTAATTGTTTGTATGAGTTATAGGTACAGTGTATGTGTGTGAGCTGTATGTGTTGGGGACTGGGGGTGTTCTGTGTATGAAGCTTCTTACATTATTCCTTATGGATGTTTATTCCTCTTTTAAAGTCATGTCCCAGAGTAAGTTGCTTTGTTTTGGACTGATAATGGGGACTCAGAACTGTCAAACTGCATTCTGTCCGAATGTTACTTTACAGCTCCTTCTGTAGTGTTAAGCATCTGTCCACCCGGACTGGGAACGGGACAGTACTTGAACTTGGTTATTTATTTGGAGCCTTTTCAAATCTTAAAGTAAACAGCCCAAGTATCGGTCACTACCTGCTCCTCAGTGGAGCTCCTTAGTTCAGCTGTGATCCATCTGTACGAGGCGGGGTGGGGCAGGTGGGTGACAAAGCCAAGTGCGTCCATGATGAAAGAGCAGGAATGCATTGTGGGCATTGTTCAAGCAGCGACTAACCAAGCATGTAGCACTGGGAAACCACAAACCACAGCAGGTGTATGTCTCCGTTCTTGAAAGGGAAAAGCAAAAGAGAACCTTATTTACACAAATGTAAGACTACAGAAATTATCCTGCTCATTTGGACCTGATCCAGGAGTCTTCAACTGCTGAGCCATTAACACAGGGAATGAGCACGTGTTTTTCATAAACAATAATGGTCTGTAATGGTCTTTTAAGATCTTTATTGTTATTAGTAGTAATTTCCTGCTCAGCATTTCATTTGTTTTTGGAAGATTGGCAGTTATGCAGCCTCTTCTGAACGGAGCTCTCCAAGGATTAGTTTGTTGTTTTTGCTATTGTACTATGAATACACTAAAGAAATAATGTTTAATTCCAGTAATTATAATAATGGCTCTAATTTGTCTGCATAATGAGTGACTTGAGCTGTATTTGAATCAATGCCATTAGCAGCTGGTTCAGAAATAGATGTTCTCAGCTGATTCATTCCTGCTCTGTTAAAGCAAAAAACATGTAATTTTTTTTCTCTAACATTTTTACTGGGCTTATATACAAAAATTTCCACTCTGCCCTGGTTCCTAGCTGGGTTCGTTGCACATGCTCACAGGGTTCAAGCAGATTATTTAAAATTAAAATGTTTCATTTAATTACATTAAATTTAATGGGAGCATGTAAGAAGCTGCCCAGCCATGTCTTTGGACAGGATAGCCTGTCTTACATGAAGAAATGGCTGGATGAGCTCAGTCATCGTCTGGACACCCCTGAATTACCTGTTATCAAACAAGGGAGCCAGATGGACCCGTGGGCCTCCTCTTGCTTCTCCCTTGCTCGTGTTGTCAGAGCCATCTGCAGTCCCCACTGCCCCGCGATCATTTAGAAACTTGTAACCAGGAGAGTTAGACGGTCCGACTGGCCTCTCGTTTGTTACCTTTCTTATGTTCCTGTGATTCACAGGTGCAGAGAGTGTGAACTGTCGATACACGTCTGAAGCAGCAGTTCTCTGTGCGGCCGTAGTCCTTAGAGATATACGATCCCCTGAACAGCCCTCTTTAAGGAGAGCTTCTAGCTCTCACCCAGAGCAATTTACTGCTGCCTTGAGTTTAATTTCCATTATATTAATTGTAAACACAGCCTTTTTGTGGAGGTTATAAAGTCCGTGATTTATTGCTCAAATTGGTACTTAAACAGCTTCATTTCATGTAAGGCAATCAGAAAGCAGAACTGGAAGCAGTCAAGGGGTGGGCCGTTAAGAGCTGCCCATAGACCTCACTGCCGCAGGGAGAGGAGGCTGGAGGCTGCTGCAGCCGTTCTCTCCCTATCGGTGTCTCCTCCGACACCGTTTGAACGCACTTCCCCGCAGCTCTTCAGATTGAGGTGTGTTGATATCATACTGATTTTCATGCTGTACAGACTTCCTTCTCGGTGTTCCAAGATCACAGACCTCTCTGCAGTGTTGTTCCATGGAAAGGGTCCAGGAGTCCATCACTGGTGGATGGTAGGCTACATTACTATCCAGCACACAGTAATAATAGTGTAGTTTCGCACTGTTATAGTATTGTAATTATGTGAATGTGTACTGATTCACATCAGCCCTGTGGAATAGAACCCTAGTGCAGCACCTGTGTAGAGACAGAAATCAATGCCCCTGGTGGGCACAGGGGTACAAGACTTTCTAACGAACACGCAGTGAATGAAGGACATACCTTTTCTCTTCATTGTGAGCAGTAGCTTTTCAGGATCTCTGCACACAAACCCTTCAAGGAGAGCAGTTGAAAAGCCAGCTGCTGTGTGACTCACGCGTTGCGTCACAGTGTGGCTTTATCGCTGAGAGCCTTTGTCCCTTCATGGACGAGGCCTTGGTTGCGCTCACTCATTGCCAGCAGGCAGCCTTGAGCGCCGGGAGCGACTCGGCCTGCTTGCACACGCCCCCTGGAGGCACGGGGCCGCAGGCTCAGCCCTGGGCAGGGAAACGCACGAATGCGAAGGAGGTAGAGAGGAGGAGACTGTGAATGGAGGGGCGCTGGCCGGGCGTGTGGCTGTGGGTGGTGGGGGGGTGCAGTAGTGATTCCACACAGCGCCGCTTGCAGATGGACGCTGCCGTGGTGACCCACGTTAAACTGACCGCTCATCAGTTTCGCCACACGCTTCTGACCTCCTGAAGAGATTCAGGTCACAGGCTGTGAAAGCAGGCCAGCAGTCCAGTAATGACATGGGTGGTAAAGACATGACATTAACCATTAGCAGACCTCTCAAATACCTGAGCAGTGACTAATGTAAAACCTTGAAACGGTAATCTACTCTCCCCCTAATTTTGACTCCATAACTCTAAAGGCTTTGAACAACCACTTAGGTTATTGAATACTGTCATATATTTGGGACACTCAGTGTGCAGCATAAGCTCTGGAGGGCTGAAAGAGCAGAGGAGACTCTGTCCCTCAGAGGGAGGGACAGATGTTTGCATGAAGCACCTCCTCACCCTCTGCTCCTATCGGAAAGAGGCCCTGTGCAGTGCAAACTCAGACTCAGCAGTTCTTTTCACACAACCCTCCAATGCTCAGTCAGTACCTCCTTCATCTTCTGCATGTGCTGCATGGAGCTTTTCTCATTGTTAAAACACAGTGTTGTAAACTGTCGACTAATTAGTTGATATGAAGTTGTTTCTGTTTGGAGCCCCAGGTCTAATAATTGAATCTTGTGCTTTTGCGGGGTTTGTCGTTCTGCCCTTGTGAGAGATGGAGGTGAGTTTAGTCCCCTGCTCTGGCTGCTGTGCCACACCGTCCTCAGACCTGTCCCAGCTCTCAGGACCTGGTGTCACCAGTGGGCCCCTTCGTGTCCACTCGCAGCCGGCGAGTAGCGAGGACAGCCAGAGTCCACGTTGTGAAGTGTGTGGGAGAGGCTGTGATGAACGACAAGTGGAGTTAAATCTATCGTGTGCTCATGTACCCCCCGTCTCTCTCGGGTCTTGTTCGCTGAGCAGTGTGGGCACAGTTCAGCCCGCTCCGGACAGCCCAGTGTTCCCCTTTGCTCACACCCCTTCCACGCCGTGTTTGTGGCCGGGACCTGGTGGGCACTGTGCCCAGGAGCAGGTGTCAGATCAGCTCCGCTGGCAGAAGCCAGGGAGGTGAAGAAATCCAGTGAAGAGTTGGCTCGTCCTCTCTGCCAGTTACCGAGACACACGTGCGGCTGGCGGTCCATGCCATCCTCTCACATCTCTGCCAGTGACATGGAGAAGGGCCTCTTGACCTCAGACCTCTCCCTGCGAGTTAGAATTCAGTCCAGGGATGGATGTTCCTCTCATCTCCCGTCACGGCAGCTGCGTTGCAGACCTGGGGCGTTTTAGCGATTTCCTTCTTGGGACGGGGGCGTTTAATTACAGCCTTCCTGCACGGACGAAGGAAGATTGATTGATCGTGTAGAATGCAGTGGTCATTTAGTCTCGGGCCCGTCAAATCTAAACAACATGGGGAAAGATTAATATTTCATTTGCTGCTTATTAAATAATATGTAAAGCTCTAATGGAAATGTGTGCATAATTTAAAATGAGATTCGCAGCAAAACACGAGTTCATGAAGCTTCGTCAGCCCAGGATTTCTGCAGTGAGGTGGCCAGTCCGTGCCAGAACTGCAGCTCAGGACGTCAGTACTGACCATTGATTTAGGTTTGTGATTCATCTTCTTTCAAAGAAGAATGGTTTTGAACTGGTATGGGTGGAGCACGAGTTCGATCCCTCCTCTCTCTCGTCACGCTCCAGTGAAGTTCATCATGCACATGGGGTGACAGGGCATCGGGTTTCAGACGTGTTGTGATCTTACGGAATATGTCATTGCAACTTGAACTCTTGCTGTTCAGAGACACCTTGGCAGGTTATCCAGTGAAGATTCATTATATTGTAGCTGGGGTTTTTTGAAAAACACTTTATAATTAAGAGAAACTGATTCATTAATTTAGTGGAAATTTCCAGCTAATTATAAATTCAGCAGAGCTAAGAAGAAGCAGGGAAAACAGTTGGTAACTCTCCCTCATCTTCTGCTGGCTTTGCTGTCTCATCAGAGCCAGATTCCCCCCACAGAATCGACTGGCCTGGGTTGCAGTTTTCCGGGCCCGTGTGCCTGCTGGTGTCTGAGCCCCGCTGTGTGTGAGAGCAGGAGACTGGCCCTCTCATCTCCTGTGGCTTTTTCTCTGGGAATCCAGCTCTGGAGGTAAGTAAAGTAAGTTTTCTCAGAAATTCAGAGCAACTGTCTTCCACAGCCCCACTGGGGTATTGGGGTACACTCAGCTGTGAGCACTGGGGTGTCGGGGTACACTCAGCTGTGAGCGCTGGGGTATCGGGGCTCCACTGTGAGCGCCGCGGTATCGGGGTACACTCCACTGTGAGCGCTGGGGTGTCATTCAGCAAGTATTTTTTTTGTTGGTAAAGAGAAACAGAAAGAAGAAAGACATCAAAAACCAGAGAAGAGAACTGGGAGTTCTTGCAGGAGAGCCTGCCTCCCAGCCAGCGCTATCAGCTGTGCAGCAGGCAGCCAGTCTACAGACAGGTGCAGAGCAGATGTGCTGTAGTCGCATTAGCACAATCTCACACCGAGCGGCTAATATCAATATGCTGCTGTCAGATGGGCTGGCTCAGACGTGCTGGAACTCAGCAGCGTGTGAGGGAGGCCAGCAAAGGATCAGCTCTGAAGAGATGGGAGTCCTGCATAGTCCCCACTCCTCTACAGGCTCTTGCTGACTCTCACTCTACTCTGCTGTTCCTGCGCAGTGCATGCCACTCTTCAGCCCCACTGAAAATGCTAACTGAGCTGAAGGACTTCATGTAATCTCTTGGCATTTTTATATACAGTATGCTGTATATATTTAATATAATTTGCATGAGTATGCCTGTCAGTGCTGGTGCGAAAGAGAAGAGGATTACTGTATTAGAAACAAACCCTCTTCTGAATGTCATGCCAGATGAAGTGCATGCACGTGAAAGCAACAGCTCAGCAGTGATGGCCCCTGATTCTGTGCCATCTGCCTCTGGAGCCCCACAGTGCACAGACCTGTTACTGTGGAAGGCAACTCACTGCGTATTACAAGCCTGGAAACAGGTAAGACCAGGCTCCTTCCCCTCCCCTTATTGTTAACCTCTCAGGTGCACTGCTGTCTGCCCTACAACACCAGCAGGGCAATTCACTAGCTCCTCTGCTAACATGACGATTGTTTAGTCTGTTGTTCTGGCAGTGCAAAGGCTCAGGAGGCCCAGGAACAGATGCTGTAATCCTGCAATCAGACAGTACCATATAGCGATCCAGGACATGCGACTTTGTTTTTGGGCGTTGCATTAAATCAGACGAAGAGCTCTGTCCCCTGCCAGCGGGCCAGGTGCTCGTCCACATGGGGTACATGGAGTAGAGGAGTCTGTTGGCATTCCCAGGTTTTTCACTCTGTGATGATGCGAACCCCGTCCCTACAGCTGTGCACAGGGCCTCTGGTATATTCTCAAGGCAAACGAGCCAGGGGGTAAACTTCTCACTGACATGTACGCCAGGGGGACACTGCTCACGGTGGCACACACACACGCCAGGGGGACACTGCTCACGGTCGCACAAACACACGCAAGGGGGGGCACTGCTCACGGTCACACAAACACACGCCAGGGGGAACACTGCTCACAGTCGCACAGACACACGCCAGGGGGACACGGATGTGTAAATATCAATGAGAAAAGTGCTGGGGGCTGTCAGTCAGAGCTTCTTGACATGTTTATTAGGCCGCTGAGAGACACAGGGACTTGTAAATGTCTAGAAGGATGTAAACAGATGTCTCTTCCACCCTCATAAAAAGTCTCCTGGGCCTTTGGCCATTGCTGCCCTGGAGGCAGTGCTCTACTGCCACACGCTGACTGCTTGTAGGTATTACAAGCTGCACGGACTAAATGTATCTGACTAAAACTTCATCAAGCAACCAGCTGGGTTTGCTTACAACACTGTAACAGTTTGCCATTAGATTCCTGTGTTGGTGCTCAGAGTTGTTCCTACCCCACAGCCAGGCCCTGGGCTGTGTCGTGGATACAGAGAGCACTTCTTCCCCTTGTCATGGGGTTTATTGCCTTCGTTACAGACCACAGCAAAGAGCAGGCACAGTGTGCGTTTCATCAATTATAACTGAGACCTGCCTGTTCCACACAACTGTTGCCTGCCCTCCAATATTTACCCATTTCTTGATCCAGTCAGGTTTGTGTGTTTTGGATTTTACTCTTGTGTCATTGTAAAGGGCTAATTAGAAATCTCTCTCTTGCTCTCTGTATAAACAGGCAGTGCAGAACATAGAGACTAAGTAAACTATCTAAGCTTCTGTTTAGAGAAGAAGTCAGCTGTGTACATAAGAGCAAAGACAAATGAAGTTTAAAGGGTCTTAATTAATAGCAGTCATTAAGGTTTGAGTAATAACCTTCACACAACTCTCCTCAGAAATCTATGTAGGTGGGCATCCAGCGTGAGGAGGTACTACAAGAACAGAACTGCAAAAGCACAGGATAGCCCTGCTCCCTGCCCATAGTGACTGACAGCACAACCACACCCCTGTCCACAGTGATGGACAGCACAGTGCTGAAAGAGCTACATTTGACATCACCATGGTACAGTGCGATCTTGGAGGCATTGACTGTCAGCAAAGCCCCATGCCCTGTCCACTGTGACGGACAGCACAGTCCCTCCCCTTGTCCACAGGATGAACAATAAGGCCCCGCCCCTTGCCCACAGGGCAGCCGGCAAGGCCCCGCCCACACTGTCAGGATAGAGCCTGTGTGACTAAGTGATGTCTTAGGGGGAGTAATGAGTAAGTGAGTAATGTCTTGTATTGAACTGTACTGGCTCTGAACAATGCCAGCAGGAGCTTTATTTTTCCTTTCAGATAAATGAAATAGAAGTACATTAATCCATAAAGCAAGCACATAAAGACTAGATGAATAAGTAGATAATAAAATGCACTTTGCGTGCAAGGGTCATATTTCAAAGTGAAATGCCAATTACAGGACATTTTAAAAGATATTATCTCATCTGCCTGTGGTAAGTAAGCAGAATTAATCTAAATTATCATGGTCCATAAAATCAGAGCACACTCATGGTGAAGCTCTCTGAGTACAGTGCACATTGAAATGAGAGTTTGGTGTTTTAATGAATTTAATTAAGTTTATTAAATTAACTGATGCCCTTCATGTTGTTACAGCACAATGAGGAATTATCAGAAATTACACTTCAGTGGTTTTTAATCAGAACTGTTGGCTGGCCCCGCCCGCACGATCTCCACGGCGGGATGCGAGAGGTCGAGACCCTCGCTGTCCCTACAAGGCCTGGGGCAGGACTTCAGGACTCTCTCTTCAAGCATCTGCTTGTAAAGACTTGGAAAGCACGTTCTGACCAACTTGATCAAGTTGTTTCAATTACTGTAGTAATAATTTACCAACCTTAATCACTGCAGGCTATTGGCATCTTCTTGTCACTTGATCTCTGAACTGCTGAACTGACCAACAAGGCAAACTCACTGATGAGCCTGACAGGACCTGCCTCGCTGTGGCTGCTCAGGACCAGGGATGTCCCCCCCCCAGACCACATCCTGCTAGACGGGCAGGGGTGTACAAACGCTGCTCTCACTCTCGGACACCTGCCGTAAAGTAGTCTGACCTTTCAGAGCTGAGCAGCGGTGGGGACACACGGCTTCATGGTCAGGCCAGTCGCAGTGGGTGTCCATTCCACCCATGATCCAGGTCCTAGCTTTTCGGCATTGCAGTCAGCCAGCCCTGAGGAGGTTTAGACAGCCTGCATGGCAAGTCCTTGTTCTAGCTGGCCACTGATTATATAATGGACCATCGGCAGCTATGCCAGTTAGACCAGTAAAGTCCTGCTTGCACGGCAGAGCCAAGCCCAGTCTTACACTCTGGCTCCCTGCCCCTGCTCGGGGAGAGCAAGGCGGAGTCTCGCTGACCGCAGGGTCCCTTCATTAATGAGCCGTGCCCACAGCCCTTCAAGCCCATCGGTTAATCAGCGCCAGTCGGTGTGTGACAGCAGCAGTGCTCGTGCCCTGGGAGGACTATAACTTTTATGGGAAACCCTGTAAAATCGCAAAGCTGGGTCGTGCTCGATCCGGCTGGGCACACAGACTGCCGCGGGAACAGCAAGATTAACGGGAGGGAGACGAGCCCAAAAGCCCACAGCCCTGCTGATTCTAGAGAGACAGAGCACAACTTGATGATAAAAACTGAAGTTATGGGGTCTCACAGCAGATCAGCTCAGAGCACAGGTTAGGCCCCGTGGCACAGACGGCGCTGGCTCAGGTCTTGTCGCCAGCCAGCTGTGACCAGAGCTCCCCAAACGGTGACACATTTCGGCAAAAGAGGGCCGTGTGCGAGAACGGCTCTGCTGTGTGGGTGTGTGAGCAGCCTGTCCTTCTCCATGTGCAATAGGAGAGTCAAAGTCATGAGCCAAGTCTACCAACTCAGTCCATCCGTTCATCTCCTAAGTGCTTTATCCAATACAGGGTCGTCCTAGGAAACAATGGAAGGAACCACTGGACGGACGGACGGACGTTTTCCCAGAAGCCAATTAACCGACCAGTATGTCTTTGGACCGTCAAAGGAAACTGAAGCAGCTAGAGGAAACTTACGTGCATAGGAGGAGAACATGCAAACTCCACCCAGACAGCATCCCAGCAACTGAACCCAGGGCCCCGGCGCTGAGCGGCAGAAGGGCTCACCACTTCACGGCCATGCCTCCCTGCACCAAGTCCAGAGTGAACGTGACCTGTGATGCTGAGTTCAGTGGAAAATTAACATAATGAAAATGAGGCTTTTTCCTCTGAAAGATCAATCTTATTGAAGTGAAACTAAACATCTATGAACTGGCTTCATCACTCTGTTCTCCTCCCCACTGAGAGCTGATGTGTGGGGAGCAGACTGGTGCATCATCCAGGTGGGGCTGCACACTGGTGCTGGTGGAGGGGATCCCCTTTACCTGTAAAGAGCTTTGAGTGGAGTGTCCAGAAAAGCTTTGAGTGGAGTGTCCTCTCTGCTCGGAGCGATTAGCTCACGGTGTAGTGGGCTTCTGTACGAGCAGAGCCGATTTCTCAATGAGATGCCTCCAAACAGATGATACGCAGGATTGTTACAAAACCAGAGATCATTCTTCAAACTAGCAGTTTCTCTCAGTAGCTGCAGTGGCCTAGAACAATAAACATCACTCTGCACCTGTACAGACACACACACAGACAATAAACATATCTCTGCACCTGTACAGACACACACATAAAGTCTATCTAGACCCAGCCTAATACACGGGCACAGAAAGAGTGCCTTGTAATGTGAGGGCTCCTTGTTGAGCTTTGTTTACACTTTACTGCTCACGGATGAATGCCACTGCAATCGGCTGTAATGAAAACGGACAGTTCAGGAGACTCTTACCTCGTGGTTAGCAAAGCAGTACAGCACGGCCACAACCAAACCCTGAGGAAGAGACAGAAGTACAGAAGAGCCCAGTGTGAGTCACTTCCTTACTCATCTGGCTATGAGGTTAATTCATCTGACACATCTACCACATTTCTCATTAATGTCCCTGGAATTACTGTACAGGTACCATGCAGTGCATCAAGTCATCCACTGTGCAAGACCATGGACAGAATTCTTAAATAAAACCACTGGAGAAAATCAATTTGCTTTAATTAATAAGAACTTGGATTAAAAAGAGAGGGAGAGCTGGGATTGGAGTGACGAAAGGAAAGAGCTGGCAGACCGGGAACCTGGAAGGAACTGTGCAGCAGTCCCGGCAGCACTCCCCGAAACCCCAACACCGGGTCCAGAGTCAGCCTGGAGAAATACAGCAGAAATATCACTCATATCGGGAGAAATACAGACACCACCTGAGGCTTCTCACTCTGAGTGGGACACGCCCCTTGCCCTGATTCGTCCAGAGTGGGACACGCCCCTCCACCTTGATTCAGCCCAACTGTGACACACAGGCTCAACTTATCCACATCCATACTGCCCTCTTGCTGAGTAAAAGCACGTGTTGAATCACACTATACAAATGGTAACGAGAAGGAAGAATTCTTCAACAGAAACCAAACCCACAGGAAGGGCAGATTCATTCAAGAGCGTGTCCCCTGAGAGCAGCTGCTGTGTCCCAGACTATCAGGTCACACGGCAGGGAAGGGCATCTCTCGGAATACCAGCCTTTCCATTTCTGGAGCTGTTCACTCCAACACAGGCACCTTCAGCTTCCCTGCCTACATCGCAGCCAAAAGAAACCGTGTCTGCCCCGGGTTTGAGTCCAACACTCTCACTTCAGAGCGCTTCCAGAGCCGTGGAGGGATTTTGTCTATTGCTTCATGTCTCAAATGAATCTTTTTACAGCAGCAATCTGAATTTTCTAGTAAAACCACTCCTGCCTGCTCAGTGTCCTACTAAAATATTATTCTGGTAAAAGTCAGACAGTCCTACCAGTCCTTTATCAAGACTGGTGGGTGTCCTCAACTCTCAGACCTGTGATTGTATCGTAGCGCTGTCAGGTTCACGGGGGTATGCACCTTCGCCGCTGCCGCCTCAGGTCGGCTCCTCACCGCTGGGGACTCGAACCCAGGCCTCTGGCATCACTCAACAGGGACTCAGCCGCTTGAGCCAAAGGGAGATCTCCCCTCAGCCCGGCGGCTGCGATCCCTGCTATTCACAGGGAAGGGCGGTGACGTCACCGCGCTGGTCAGCCGGCTCCCACAACCTGTAATGTCCGTCGTATTGGTTACAGTATTTTCCATTGTCAGTTACACAAGCTATCTCATCATTTTCATTTTCATCTCATCTGTAAAACAAGAAAGCAATTTTTAATACTAGTTAAAAGTATTAACACAAACTGTCATAATACACTGTTTTGCAGAAAATAACCATGACACACAATATGTTACTACTATAATATTAGCTTTCTTTAGCAAAGCAGTTTGTAGGTGAACATGTTGCACCGACTCCAACACACTACTGCTGACCTTCGAAAGAAAACTAACAAAGCCAAATGTTTGCTGGAAATTTCAGTCAAATCAGAAGAAATACATACAAACAGCAAAACTTAAATTGGAGCAAAAGGCTTTAAATATTTTAATAATAATAAAAAAAAAAATCCTTACACTTATGTAGCACTTTTCTGGACCCTCCACTCAAAGCTCTTTACAGGTAATGGGGATCCCCTCCACCAGCACCAGTGTGCAGCCCCACCTGGATGATGCGCCAGTCCGCTCCCCACACACCAGGTCTCAGTGGGGAGGAGAGCAGAGTGATGGAGCCAGTTCAGAGATGGGGATGATTAGATGGTGATGATTTTCCTGTTAATGTATATTTCTCATTGTAGTATTTTCAATTAAAAACATTATGAAATTATTTCAATAAAAATTAATGGTGTAACATCCTATAACCCAGTACACAGCCCGAACGGTGCATCACATCAGGCCTGAAGTAACAAACTGCTGTTAATTGAACCTGCTCCTGCCCTGCTGCTCACAGGCCCGCATGCTTCAGTCAGCAGTGTCTCATGGAGCCACAGCGCCCCCTAGTGACACAGGTCACTCAATTATCAGTCAATCCCCTTTAATATTCTGTTTTCATGGTGCTGGTCCCTCAGGGCCAGTGTGTCTGCAGGTGTCCAGTCCTGGTCCCGCAGGGCCAGTGTGTCTGCAGGTGTCCAGTCCTGGTCCCGCAGGGTCAGTGTCTGCAGGTGTCCAGTCCTGG